CCCTATAAGAAATAATAGGATGTAAATGTATGTTAAAGCACGAAAAAAGCACGTAAATTTATTGAAAGCACGTAAAATAACTGTCATTGGCACGGAAAATTTTTTTCGTTTATTTTTGTGACATGAAAACACCCGTAAAAAAGAAAGGTTGTTTGGAAACCCATGTAAAAGCATGGAAACCAACGTAAAGAAACACACGTAAAAAAGAACAGAAAAGTACTGTAAAGTTTGAATGTAAAATCATATAGTCGAAACGTTACACGAGAGAGAGTAGAACACCTCCAGCAGTAACACAATATAAAGTAAGTGTGAATGATATAAGTTGGCAGCGGTTGGTCACATCACTTTCATTGTGTAAAGTTTCGCGCACTCTCCCTTCCCGCAGAATATAGTATTGGGATTCGGTAGGTTCACATCTTCTAATGTGTCTAGCTTTGCAACGAGTCACGTAGGTTCCCGGGTGCCCGTGGTGACAAATAGCACGTTACCGTTGGTCGAGCATCCCTTTTAAAAAAAAGAAGAAATAATAATAGAATGGCGCGTGAGGACTTCGTGTGCCTTTATGCGTTCAGAAAGCCAAAAGCAGACGCGTGGGACTCTGATATGTCAGTCGATAATTGAAAGACTTTGTGAATGGACGTCAGGTAATACAAAGAGATTGACTACTCAAATTAATCTTTTTTGGTATCCGGACGAACAGCCCTGGCTCGTAAGGACAACATGCGCCTCTGACGTGCCCGCTTGTATCGTGCCTTTTATGAGCCCGAATAGCACTGCATGGCCACATCAGCCATTGCATTCGGGCGAGCGGAGACTGTATATGTTAAAGGTTTAAACGTTTGAGTCATATAACTCTTACGCGAATAAATAAAGCCCGGCTTAACGGATAGTGTTATCCGTTCTCAGTGACCATTGATCACTGAACCCAAAACTTATACGATCGAGAGAGAAGTTGCGACGTAAATACAATCCTAAAAATATGCCAGTAAATCTGAAATGGAGTTGTGTGCGGAGCACATCTATATAGGATATCACCTGAGATAATACGTCATGTGTGCTACGCACGCAACTAAGATATTAGTGGGACCAGTAGATGGGACGGTCCGGAACCTAATATAACGCAAATGATTCATCAAGTCCAATAGAAATAGTGTAAATTATATAGTAAATTCTAATACAATTTACAGTGCTCGCTATATATAATGAGAAAAATATGCCTTTTTTATTTTTGCATTATAAAAAATGCTTGAAAATATATAAAAATTTACAGATATATACTTTAATATATTGCGAGCAGGTTTTCTTAAGACTACGTGCTTAGTAACATATCTTATTTCTATTATTCTCAAATATTTGATCTTAATTCTGATATAATTCTATAAATTTAATTATAAAATTTTCATTTTTGGCTTTTTTTAATATTTTAAGCTACTAAGTTGCCTTAAGAAAACTTGTTTGCAATATATCAAAGTATATATATTTATATGTTTTCGATCAATTTTCATGATGATGTAAAAAAAATTACCATTTAGATTATTCGATTTACATGTAGTTTCATTTATCAGGATTCGATAATTGGAAGTAATTACAATAAGTTAATCTATAAAGTAGTCTTAATTAAGTAAACTTGATCGTAATATATGAAACGTATATCTGCAAATTGTCATATATTTTCAAATTTTTTTTCCTAGCAAATTAAGGAAAAATAACATTCTCGTTATATATGGCGAGCCCTGTACATCGTTTCCATTGCACTCATCCCCATGATAGTGTCTTTCGTCTAAAAGTAAAGAAAAGAAATTAAGTTGGAATGCTCGGAATAACCAGTATTTGAGTCATATAAATGGTGACAATCAGTCATATTATAAATCACATAGACCTTAGTAATTGGGACAGTTTTAATGTAAGTGTGACAATTACGTCCACTACTGCCACCACCAGACCAACAACACTAAACGGGCTCACTTTGAGCACAAAGATCAGACGTTTTGTTGATTGATTATCAGATGATTTCCAAACGATGAGTTTTCACAGGTATCACTACTAAAATAACCAGACACCAGCAGTAATAATTACCATCACCCCAACACCCATTGCCCAAACATCCACACTCACGCATTAAAAAAGGATTCATTTACGATTCAACTCTTGAGACAAAGTGAAGCATGAGCTGTTTCGTCCTCGATTTTGTTTCGGAACATACTGAATGTCGCTATAATATAAAAAACAATTATCACACGGTCCAAATATTAATAACAACCCTCGAAATGAACTCACACAACAAGATTATTACCTAATGACCAGTCTGAACCAAACGCAGCAACCATTACAGTAATGACCGATGACCGAGGACCAAGATCAGATGAACGCGCAGTCGAGATAGCAAATCGCCAACCAAAACGCTGAGCAGGAGTATTATCAATACTACAATAAACCCAAAAACAAGTATTATCATCGTGAAGTGGCATCGAGAAGAAAAAATGGTAAATTGCCCCTATGATTACTCCTTATAGTATCATCAAGAATCTACAGAGCGTCAAAGCAAATATCAGTGTTCCACGATTAATTCAAGTAGCGTCAAAAATCAAACTTGAACTTGAAAATTCGCTCATGCTCTGGGAAACGCCTATTGAAAAACAAATAAAAGCTTGCCCTCAGAACAGCCAGAATTAATAAATATCCCCATTATATACACAATTGCTTTAATTAGTCAAGTTAAAGCTAATATTGACTGCACAATGATCACAGTAACGATAAAAGGAGACCAAAAATAAAAATTTCGTGCACTTATCTTTAAGAGGCGACTGGACGCTGACACGATTATGAATAATACAAGAATCACAGGGTGCCGTGACACTGAATATCTCAGGCAGAATTATGATCACGGCATAAATCAAAAAGAAGCCAGATGGTAACTACTTATTCAACCTTCACAATTTGGACTGCAAGACATGAGCCTGATGACATGGCTTAATTGCCACGATCAGAAACCATGTTTGAAATGATCGCATTATGCCAGACCTTTTTTTAAGTTGATTTTTACCTCTATTAAATAGTTGTAGTTGGAGAGTATAAACGTTTTATAAATATAAGTAGGAGGAAAAATTTTTTTCACTAATAGGCGTGCGTTATAATCACAAATCACTGGACACGTTCTTCCAATCAAATTACACATAAGAAAATGCCACCACACATGGAACACGTGATAAAAACGCAGTTAAAAGTGTAAAATTAACCAGATGCTGATCCTTGACACTCGAGCAACTATTAGCTAAGCTAGGAGAATCGCTTAATAAGAAATCGAGGAACACAGAGCTGGTGTTGCACGCGTTTAATCAAGAAACAAACAATTTTTACAGAACGACGAAATAGAAATCCATACCTCAGTTACAAATTTATTTCTAATGTCAGAGAAAGTATTATGCAAATGTGGTTGGTGTTTATCTAAAGATCCAAAAGGAATCAAGATAACAAAACGTACAAAGCGTCAACATGAACAAAGATTTGAAGCAGTTGAGCTCGATGATAATCACTTCGTAAAAGGATTTTCAAAAAAAAGACCACGAGCTACAGCCCAGCCTCATGGGTCTAATAATAGTGTGATTACGATGCTAACAAATGAAGATAAAAACCTAAAGAAGTTTGAAACAATAAATCTTATATTGAAAGTACAATTATTTGCAACAAATCAAATATAGAAAACACAGATTCAGCGATGAATGTTCAAGATATAACTGATACTGATGACCACGAATTACATATTGAAGTTGATTCTGCAGAATTCAAGGATGACAATGAATTACATATCGAAAACGAAGTTGATTGTGCAGAAATTGAGTATGTATTAAATATTTAAGTATTTAAGAATCATAATTATGAATTTACCATAGTGAAAATAGTTTTACATTATCTATTGAAGATGATGAAGATACAGAATTTTGGAAATCACCTATATTTTTTAATGAATTACCTAATCAAAATGAGGAAGAGCTTCTTACAGATGATGGATGGGAAGAGTTTCTCACAAATGATGAACAGGAAGAGCTTCTCACAAATAATGAAAAAGGAAAGTATAAATAATTTTTACTGTTTCTTTGTATGAACTTACAATAATTTGAAATATTAATTTAGGTTCTAATATTTTGACTGAGGAAATGATACAAGTTTTACGTCTCCTTTACCTAAAGGGTGTAAAAGGAACGATAGCTGATGATGATTTTAAAGCCATTTTGAATATTTTTAATTGCACATCGCAAACCCTTTATCTCGCAAAGAAGAAATTACGACAATTGGTAAATATTGGTGATAATCACATCGATATGTGTGTTAACTCTTGTCTAGCATTTACCGGGGAGTATTCAGCAAATGTATACTGTACTATATGCAATGCACCACGTTATAGTACTGGAAGGAAGGCTCAAAAACATGCAATATATTTTCCCATTATTGAGCGGTTACGATTACAGTTTGCTGATCCAGCACGCGTTCTTCAGCTTTTGTATCGATCTAATCATGTAGAAGATTTTTCCAAATTGCAAGATATTTATGATGGAAACTTGTATAAAGAAATGCTTCGAGAAGAACTATTGGCTGATTCTCGCGATATTGTTTTTTCTGCATCTCTTGATGGATACCAAATTTTCAAACAACAACGTGATGATTGTTGGGTAATATTGTTGATAAATCACAACTTGCCGCCAGAAGTTCGAGTGAAGAAAGAAAATTTAATGATAACTGCTGTTATTCCTGGTCCACGAGCACCTAAAGATCTCAATAGTTTTTTACGACCTTTGGTTGATGAATTACTTATTCTTGAAAGTAAGTATAATTTGTAATATTTATTTTATTATGATGACTTTTAACTAACAGATTATTAATAGAAGGAACTACTTGCTATGATGCAGCAAAGAATGAAGAATTTACACTCCGTGCTCATGTAATTTTTTGGTGTGGAGATATCCCTGCGATTACAAAATTAATGTGCATAACAGGCCACAATTCTTATATGGGATGTCGATTTTGTGACTTGCGTGGAATAACAAGCAAAGAACCTGGAAAAAATCATGTATATTATCCACTGAAGCCACCATTATATAATAAACTACCGATCTATGATTCCTCAGCTTTGCCATTGCGAACACATGATATATATTGTAAAAGAGCAGAAGAATATATTGAGATTAATTCAAAGACTGCTCGTAAGAATTTATCAATAAATACTGGTAAGTTTTCTATATTATATTAAGTGTTTAATAATCTTGAGCATCCTTTGAATCGTAATTTAATTTACAGGTATAAATGAAAAAAGCATTCTTTTTGAATTAAAGGCATGCAAGTTTCCAAGATCATTTCCGCTAGATATTATGCATCTTCTATTTGAAGGAGTAAGCATATGGATGTTCAAACATTGGAATGGTATCTTCTTTTCAAATCCTGATCTGAATCAGCCTGATGATAATTCATATATATTGAGCAAAAGAGTTTGGGAAGAAATAGGTGAAATTATGGAAGCTAATAGAAAAGCTATTCCATCAGAGTTTGGACGAGCTCCAATTAACATTGCTCACCACTCAAACGGATTTAAAGCAGAAGAGTGGACCAATTGGACCAACCTTTATTCTTTGCCACTATTAGTAAATTATCAGCCAGATGAAAGGTAAGTTTCAATATATAATTTGGGTTATATTAATTTTATTAACCTCTCATTTACAAGTATATAGAATATTGCGAGGTTGGACTGCCTATGTGTCAAGTTCCCAAATTTGTGTAAAACACTGCATTACTCGAGAAGAGTTAAAAAAAGTTGGCATATATTTTTAGTATTTTTTAAGTAATTACGAAAGGTAATATGACTTTATTATATTAACTAATTTATTTTTGTTGATAATCTCACTTATTTTATCAATGTTTAGTATATATGGAAAACGTGATGATAAATATTTGCCTGCTTACAAAATGGTTTTTCACTATCTTTTACATGTTGAGACCTCAATAAGTGATTGTGGTCCTTGCTGGACTTTTTGGCAATACCCAATAGAACGCCTATGTGGAATTCTTCAGTCTCTGGTACAATCCCGTTTGCATCCCTATACCAACCTGGTTAACAATATCTTAACAATGGATAGATTCAACTATATTCACTTTTTGCCTAAAATTCGTGAAAGGCTTTTTCCATCAAAAAAAGACCGAGTGTACAAAGAGAACCAAATCTTTAGTTTGGAAGAAAACTCTGAACAGTTGTAGTTTCCTAGTTCAACCTATAGGCTATATGATGGTGAAGAAAATACTGATCGTGAGCTGTTGCATCTAAGAAGATATTATCAGGCTACGAATGATTTTCTTGTTAAAGAGGTAATATTATTAATCAATATATTTTAACACCTTTATATTTATCACATTTTTCTTTTTTTTAGCTTAGTAATATTGGTCAGCGTTTTTCTCGTTTGCGTACAAAAGATGGTTATATGATTGGCTCTTTATTAACAATTACAGGTGCCAAATCACGTGATAATTCATGTATAAAGGTATTGTTATATCTTGTACTTTTTTCCATTACAAGATTAATCTTTATACTTAAAGTATTTTAGTATGAATTGGAGATTGCTAATCACAATGGAATATATGAGATGAAGCCATTTTACGGACGAGTGCTTTATTACTTGGTTCATGAGTATACGAATAAAAAGTATATGTTAGCTTACGTCCATAATGCATACAATGTTCGTCAAGAACTCTATGGATTACGAACCTTTAAAAAGTTCAGCGCAAAGGAATTTATTAATGTCTCGACAATAAAGAAATGTGTGGCATTTTTCAAGGTAGGATCATTGAGCTATGTACTTGAAAAGTCTGAAGAACTTCTTGCTGATTAAAGATAAAATAAATTTTTGTAACAATTAGTAATTTGATTGAGCTTTTATGTTCAATGACTTTTGCTATTACTACGGACCCAATTATAATATGTAAAGCTTTATGTTTGCTTTTACTTTTATTAGCAAGCTTTCTTATTAAAAGATATGCAGTTTCTTTATACAAATTAATTAATGATCAAACATTTGTTGATATTGGTGTCTCTCCTCTTTAGCAACACCAACGATTTGAGTGAGCGCTATAAATTGCATGCGTATAGAGCCACGATTGTTTTTTAATTTATGGATCTCTTAATACCAGAAGTCTCATGCTGGGAAATCATTATCACAATCAAGTTATTTTTTTACCAAAACAAGAACTGAGCTGACAGCATGAACAGATTCTCTCTTACACATTGAAGAATTTTTGGAAGCTTGAATTTCAGAGTAACCGTAAAGACATGATATACAAACGGAACATGAAAGGTAGTTACCTAAAATTCATTCATGACATTCTTTGATAATACCTTATTTGCGTTTACTTCTTGAATTATGCGGTAAATAAGGTAGTGAAAAAAGCGTGGGCAAGCTTCAATTCAGTTGCCGTCACAACTTCCGGCTACCCATGGTGATTTCCTCGTTTATGATCACGTACATATTATAGCTACCCATGGTGATTTCCTTGTTTATGATCCTGTGCGTATTATATATTTGTAAACAAATCATCTTCTATATAAATGATATAAATAATGTCAAATCTAGCATTTTTCGTCATGGAAGGCTCTTCGACATCCACCTTGCAAACCGATAATGACTCTTTAAGAGAAGAGTTAAAAGAATTGCGAGTAAAGCTTTGTGAACAGCAAGAAAAATGTACAGAGCTTATGCAAAAAGTCAATCCAACACATATCCAACCAATTGAGAAGCCACTTGGAAAGTCGAAAATATCTATCAATACCACGTTTAGTCTTAACAAAAAAGAAGGACAAGTTCGTCGTGTAAAAGCTTATTTTGGTGACCTCATAAGAAAAAGCAAGATTCCTCCAAACACAACTTATAGAACTCTTGAAACAGTTCTTGCTGAAAACTGGGTTGAAGCGGTTGGTATGAACTTTTATTTTTTATTTTTCAGAGAAAAATAACTCTTTTCCTTGCTAGGCAAAGAGTCGATATGAAGAAACTTTTGGTTTCCAGGAATGGGTTTTTCGTGAAGCTTTAAAACAAAAACTTCAGGATCGAAGTAAGTGTCACACCACACTGCTTACAGTACTATTTTAGATTCTTACTATTGGGTATTGTCCAATTTACATACAGGCTCGTATTATAAGCGAAAAAATAAGCTCAAGGCTAAACGGGTGGAAAAATCAGTCGGTAAATTTTCTCCTCAAACTATATGCCATTTAACCCGCATTTTCCTTATTTGAGACCTCATTATTTGTGATACTTTTGCAATATTACATGACGGTACAGTCTCCACGATGACAGTATCAAGTGATGAATCTGAAATTGAAGGTTTGACAAAACAAATAAGAAAAAAAAGGGGAAAAGAAAATACAGGTTGGTATTGTGATCTGATTTTTTATTATCTTGTCATTGATATTATCTTTCTTTAATTAGTGATGGCAGTACCAAGCAATGAAATCTTGAAACAAACGAGCAAACAACGAAAAGGGAAAGAACCTGCAGGTGAGTATTGCAATTCAATTTTTTTTTATTATTTTATCTCACTAATATCTTTAATCAGCGACGACAGTACCAAGCGATGAATCGGAAATTGAAATCTTGAAACAAACGAGCAAACAACGAAAAGGGAAAGAACCTGCAGGTGGGTATTGCAATTTGATTTTTTTTATTATCTCGTCTCACTGATATCTTTTTTTAATCAACAACGACAGTACCAATCGATGAATCGGAAATTGAAATCTTAAAACAAACGAGCAAAAAACGAAAAGGGAAAGAACCTGCGTTTTCTGACCCGCCCAGCAGGAGAACACGCAACAAGATGAAATAGAACCAGATCAGTCAATATAATGATGTCGTTTGTCTAATCATGT